CTAAGACAGGGAGTGCAAGTGCAGAAGATCTTCCCCCGTCCAAGTGATGAAGACTTCAAATTGGCACAGTGCCCATCCAGGGCAGGGCAATATTTGGGGGTGCTCAGTTGCAGAATCAGTAAGTACTATGGATGACAACAGGTGCCACCTCCCCCATTTGTGCACCTTCCAGGTCATCACATTATTTTACAAGTTGTTTGGACTAGAATTTTATCAAGTCAGACCATAACGGGAGTTTAGGAGAGGGAGGGACTGAAATGTCAGGGAATTAACTGGGGCAGTCATCATTTTACATTAAATCATGGCTAAGAAACACAATAAATTGACCATGCTGCACAGAACCTCTGAATGCATATGTTTTGACTTGGACGTGTGTCAAGGTAGTTGTACCTTTACAAAGGAAATGACAACTACGTGTTGGTTTGCTTTCCTTTTAGAACATTTTTCTCATATTAGTATTAGGTGGCATCTCAGAGGACTAAATTAAATACGGATTTCCCCTTTCCATACATTTATTTTAGTAATCAGACACTAGCAAAATTATCTTTGAACCTTTCCTTTGATTTTTTTCTGGTGTCTTCAGAGAAGAAATGTGAATCTACTGAAGAAAGCAGAAAGCCACACTAATTGTAATGATACTGCAATGTACCAACAGCATCTTTATTTATAAATGGATTATAACTTTGCCATATCTTCAGAGTGTTTCTTAGAACATAATCATATTAACACAAGTGGAACAGTGATGCATTACATTTCTTACTTCATCCTGCATCCATATCCTGTCCAATACTTGTGCCTTCAAAGTATTACTGTCATCTGGTAAACTTTCTTATCTTTTCCTTGGCATATTTTAATAGACCAGACTTTTTATTCAAAAATACTTTTACCAAAGTAGTCATGTTGCCTTCCAGAACAAACCCCTTCTCCCCAGAGAAAGTATGTCATAATAGGAAGTTTCCATTCCATGAAAAGGAGAATTAGGAACCCAAACAAAACTATTAGTAGCTTCTGTCACACTTACTAAGTTCTGTAGAACATCAATGTAATAAATCTAAAAATCCAAAAGAAAAAATATTGCAGCATTTTCTACTAGCTCCTGTAAAGGAGGACAATACTAAGTTTATACTGATCACCTTTAAATGTTTTAAAATATGTAAACACCCTAAATCATAATATTTGGGAAACTGTAAGTTATCTCCAAAGATGTATCAAACCTTGACTAATGTCAGCTTTATGTGGTGGGATGGATTACAAGAAAGCACCTGCTACTTCTCCTTGAGACAGCTACTCATGAAGTTTAGAAAGCAGAGGGAAGAGTCCAAAACTGCAGTGCTCATAGGAATGCACTCTGCACTATAGGATAAAAGGCAGCAGTAAGATTACTGATATCAGTTCTAACTGCTCTGGGGAAGACAAAATTCTTGGATTATTTTTTATTTTTATTTTTACTGAGTTGTGGAGTTTCTAGTTTTTAAGCTCTAACACCAGGCAGGCTGGCTACACTTTTCCATCGGTAACACACTTCCTTTGAGTACACACCACACAGAACTAAAATTCTTTGCCTCAGGAATCAAAACATCAGTGGAAAAGTGGACAGCAAAAGCATAGGCACGGCCTGTAAGTTACAACCACACAGACCTTGTGGATGGTCTGAACAGTATCTTGCCAACGTGTAAAAGACACATGGGCAGGAGTTGCTTTCCAGTGTCAGCTTTGCCTTCTTGTATTCCTTGCTTGAGAAAAGGGCTTAATGGGGAAGATAAACCATGCTGTGTCACTGTCCCCAAGTCACTCACATTCAGCCTAGGGTCAGTGGGTGGCTTTGAGACACAAACTACTCCAACTGCAAAAGGTAATCAAGAAGTATTTTGAACAAACAGCTCAAACTGGCCATAGAGTAGATTGTCTAGAACTGTCACTCTTTCAAAGTGCTAACCTTGTAAACTGAGAATTGAGTGCAGTTTCACTGGGAAGTGGAGATTACTCTTCTCAAAGAGACTTCTAGCACCAGAAGGGTTGTGTATTCAGTTGTGGAGATTTCAGGTAAAGCAGAAGAGGGGAGTGTGAGGCACGGGCCTAATGTCAGACATCATTTACCAGCATTTCTATACAGCACTGGATTATCAGTAAAATGGTTTGGGTTCTTGTGTACTCACAGCTTTTATCTTGTTCACAGGAAATAAAAATGGTACTTGCTGAGTACTTTATTTCAAAATCTGTTAGCAGAGCTTGTTACTGAAAAATTGAGGACTGCATCTCAGAAGACATGAGACAAGGACAAGATGGATTTATGAACTTATTTGTGATTACATCAACTCAGAAAAAAAATTCAAGATCTTGCTCACACATCAAAACATGAAGTTTGTCTGTTGGTACCAGAAGATGGTACAAGATGGTTTGTGAACCAGTAAACACTGGTCATCTTTTTGTACCTTTCTCCCCTCTAATATCACCTATCACCTGTTTAGATGGCTGACACCAATTGATTTTGGGTACTTAATGAAAATACCAAGGACAAATTTCCTCTATACTGTAGTTGCATTCTGAAAAGTTGTTTTTTCGAATGGTAATGTCCTAGCCAGAAAAATCTATTCTGAGATAATACCATTGTGCACATTGCTGCAGTTTTCTACTAAAGAGAAAATAGGGAGGAGGGGGAAAAGAACCCAACAGTATTAATGTTTTTTACTAACACAGAAAAAGCAGTATGGCTATGATCATGACACTGAGTCGCGGCTTGTACACCATATCCTTGTGAACCTCTATTGAAATAACATGAACAGAATAAAAAGTGTACCTGTTTTGCTTTGCCTTGTCTAGCCCTTATACATTAGAGGAATAGTGATGGATCTGACCAGTTTGTAGTGTAAGTCTGTACTGTCAGTAACAATGTATAAGTCAGAATAAGTACACAGGCAGTTTCCTGGTGAGATGGTAGAACTGGCAGGCAGAAAAACAGACAGTGTTTGTTATTAGAACAAATTTGATGATAAATTGCTTGGACACAAATCAGGAATGATAAGCTACAAGTCTCACCAACTCAACAAAGAGAAAACTCAGTGGGCATTTCTTCCGTTTTTAAGTTATTTAGTAGTTATTTTTTTCTAGTAATTTATGTAGAGAAATGTACAAGAACACTCAGTGTGAAAATGGCAGAGACAAGATGTGCTGACTTCATCTAATTGTGATATTTTAACCCTCTTTCCAGCATTGAATGTCCTTTGCCTCCTGCCTAATATTTTTTCTTGATTCAAGAGAGAAGAACTTAATTAACTAATGTAGCAGACTGATTAATTTTGGAGATCCTGCACATACATATTCCTTCATCCTAGAAAACAGAAGTTCTTTCAAAGCATGTTTGCTCTCTAAAGATGTTCATGTAGACAGTGAGGTCTAGTAATAAGATTAACTCTGCTCAACCAAAAACAGCTATCAGCTGAGCAGACAGATAAATGAGATCATCTCACATGTTGCATGACATCTTCTTCCTTGCTAATTCCACACAGCAATTTCTAAGATTAGGTTAAAATATGCTATAAAGACAAGCTTAAAACGTATTTCCCAGGCAAAGTAAAATGTAAATGTTATTTGTGAGGGGCTTCTCTAAATGTGAGGGTCAAAATCCCTTCCATATCCCAGATACATTTCTTTAACTGACATTTCTTACCTGGAAGTAGGAAGATAGGTGTTATACTGCTCAGGTAAACAAATAAAGGCAATACAAAGCATATGGGAGGGACGTTAAATACCTAGCATCAAGAAGCCAGGTAGCTGCTGCATCATACCTAACCTAGTCATTGCAGAGCTAAGAGTTGCACTGCAGCTAACAGGTTTTCAGCAGATCTGAATGAGTCACCAGCGAGCAGTAGCTTTGTTACAACACTGTTGAGTCTGGAGGGGACAAAGTTACAACCAGCTTGGATGTATCTTTACACTGTAGTCAGAAACCCACACAATATCTGCATGTACTCTGGTCCCGCTATTACAGCCACATTCATTCTACTGAATTCACATACAGACCCTACCCATTCACTTTCTGATGCAGCTGGAGTAGCACATCAAGCCTCCTTCTCCCACCAGCCAATTTAACAGGTACCTCAAACCTGCCTCCTAAAGGCTGTTCAAGTGACATGGTCTAAGTATGAAAAGATGTAGCAAGGCAAAGAGGGCCCAGCTGTGCTCTTTACAACATTTTGTACAAAGGTGAGTTCAAGTTCTAGGAAGATTCTTACACACTACAACAGTGCCCAAGACTCAGAGCTGCAGTATACCATGCTGGCTAAGTAGGAGAGTAAAACATTCGTATGATGCCATTCGCAACATACTGAGTGAGGCTAACACTTCAGCTCGCACTAGTGGATGGAGAAGGTGCTGCAGCTTATAGCATGAGAGGAACCAGCCCCACCCATCAATCTGTTGCCAGATTCACAGGCTGTCATGCTTAGCAGTCTATCAGCAGAGGAAGTTAAGCCTTAATCTGTATTGCTTTAGGGAAAAATAAAACTGTTCTATAGTTCAAACAGCAAATAGTTATTTATCCTAGAGACTCTTGATTGTATAAAGGATTCTGAGCAGAAATGAAATTTACCCTAAGACAGCAGCAGAGAAGGAGCTTAATTACAATTACAAGATAACTCAATCTAGCCAATGCTTTCATTTACTGTGCCAAAGATTTCCTTCTGAATTTTTATGCTTGAACTAGATCCAAATAGCAAGAAAACCATAAATCCCAGTGGTCTCACAAGGACTCTACCATTAACAGGTTGCACATGAAGCATGTGACGTTACAAATTCTTACATTTAGGGAGGGGATCCACTAGCTGAAGACAAGCTTACAACTTACAGATGAACGAGCTGACTTTTCACTGTACGATCATTACCTGCTCCTTTCGCCACAAACTGTCACCATTAATTCAGCTCAAGGGCAAGTCCCAGGTTTTTAAATAGCCAACAGGGTATGTACTAATACATCACCATTGACAATCATAACAGCTACTTACCCCACAGTACCGATCATCACTGAATATCTGCGGTGGCAGTGGGTTGCCTTGTGCTGGCTGCCTGTCCTCTGGGATATTTTTATACATCCATTGTCTTTTTTCCTCAGACATTGTGATATCCACCTCTTCAAACTCTATGCGATTGGCTTCCAGAAACCTCACCACATCTTGTTGCCTCTTCTTTATCTAGATGAAAGGAAAACAAAAAACAATGCTCAGAGCAAGTACCCTGTAACTCAGATGTGCTTTCAAACCTGAGACCATTCCTTTCCTCCTGTCCCACTTTCACAGCATGGGAAGCCACAAACTCAGGAAGGCGAGGAAAAAATATATTTTTTTGGTTTTAAGTTCATAAACATTAAACATTACTGTTTATTTACAAGTTGACAACAGCTATACTTCCTCATCTAATTTCTAGAAGGCTGAGTCTTCAGTTCAGCTGTGGGCACTACAGTCTCTATTCTCTAAAGATGCTTTTAAAAAAAATACTCTGTATGGCACTCTTCTGAAATAGGAGTTAATACAGGCAGCTGCTTTTCAAAGTCATGGGGCTACATTTTTTAAATATATAGGCACCTAGAAATGAAAGGTAAACAACTTGGCAAGAATCTGCTCCTGTAAGTAAGTGTTCATTGAGACAAACACGTTGGTACATCTGAAAAAAACCCACCCCAGATACACTTGTTTTTGTTTTCCTAGACACCTACACATCTTTTTAAAATGCAGCTTGATGGTTCCCTGAACAAGGCTTGTTGAATCTTTAATTAAGGATGTCTGTCTGCATAATACACATTCCTAATAATAATAAGTATGATCTCATCCCTTGAAAATTAATTTAATTGGAAAAAAAAAATAAAAATGCATGAGATTTTTACTAAATGTATGGGGTTTCTGCCCCTTGAGGAGATTATAATCTTTATACCATAGCCTAACAGAGGCAGAACTGCCCCTGGCAGTTTTTAGGTCATCATAGTTAACTCAGATCAATCCTTAACAGCTAGCTGGGTTTCAAGAAGATACGCTCTGGAGAAAACTGAATCTGCCTCAAACTGGACTTTATATCAAGATAACAACCTTTGAATGAAAGTCTGTAGGGCCAAGGAAAGCTACCTGGGTTCATTCAGCTAGATCTACTCTGCATTTTCTTCAGTCCATACCGTACTTTTTCCATCTACTTAATGAAATTCATTATTTCAAAAAGGAACTATAAACTATATGCTTTATTTTTCACAGGCATAACCAACAGCATTATTTGAAGGAAATAAATACAGCTTTAATAATTTTGCAGTATTTCTGAAGTGTCAGATTCACGCAGTTGCTAGCTGGCAAAAAGCCCAGGTGGATGAATCATGCCTGTGGGTATCATACGACCTAGATACTATTTGGAATTCAGAGGATTTTTTTCAAGTGTATGTGCTAGTTGTTCTTGTCACACAACCCATTCTGTCTACCTAAATGCATCACAGAAGTACATAACTTTTGGAGGTAATGCTGATGCAGTCATTGTCTCCTTGAAATAAGAGGCCAGCCATCCCAAGAAACTGCAAAGACAAAACTCTTACATGATTACTGTCTTTATTAAGAAGTGAGCTGCATAGTAAGTTTGTATCTCAATGCCTTACTCTTTTTCCTTTTCTTACATACATGTTGGTAGGGGGTATTAGGCATACATGAAAGGATCACTTTTTCAAGCAGAAGGCAGGTCCTAAAATTGTGTGAAAATAATTCATTATCAACAACAGTAGAATTACCACATCATCATCACTGCTGGTACTGAAGGTAACATGCCCTTTAGTATCTCCCCAAAAACTGCAAAGACAAATTCTGCTGTCAATGTATAAGTGAAAGACAAAAATATTTTCCTCTCTCTTTCACCAAAAAAAAGTTGCAAGAGAAACCCAAAAGAGACACTGACATTTTATTAACACAAATATTAAGTATTTGTTGAAGAGAAATAAGATGTCTAAAATAATGTGTGGGAGGGATAGTTTCCTTATAGTGGAGTATTGCTAAAACCAACAAGAATTCGCTTATGTCCTGGTCAGAGCAACTAGTAAACTGCTTAGTGCCAGGGCCAGCCCTCTGGCCCTGAGGCCAAATGGCATCATCTGGCCAAGTCTATTAAACCTGCAGCCTTTCAGAGTGGCTGCGTGCATTGGGAATGATCCCTGGCATGCTGTACCATGTACATCTTGACCACAAGTTGTTTGTGAGACTGACTGTAAACTAGCCTTGGCTAAAGCTGTCTGTGCAGGCAACCATCCTTCTAACAGTTTCACAGTACCAGATACTACTGACTGTAAACTAGCCTTGACCAAAGCTGTCTGTGCATCCTTCTAACAGTTTCACAGTACCAGATACCTCCAGTGCTCAGGCCACATACGAGTACACACTTATCTACATCTACCTGTTCTCATTTGCTGTCTCCCAGTAATCTCTACACTGGGCACAAGTTTAACTGCAACCTAGATTTAATCAGATCTCAAATATTTTACTGTTCAGACCCTGAGAATTCTTCCACAAACTTGCATTTCCTAATCTGTCCTTTTTATTTTTATAAAACTAATTAGGATGTTGAGGAGAAATAAATCGTGAGGTGTTTTTTTATAGCCAGAAGCCTTGCAGTTCTCCACACGACATCTACGTGACTTATCAGCAGTGGATGCGACAGCTGCATAAATTTAAATAAGATGCCCTAAAAATTTTTAGCCAAAAAAATAGCATACTCTCCTCCCCCAAGTGATTTAATTCAAGCCTGTAAACTGAACAAGAGCATTAGTTACATTTAGAATCCTATTAAATTGTGCCTTGTTGTTTAAGATGGATGCTCAGAGCATCTGCCACAACAGAAGCCAGCTGATCATTCCCCAAGAAAACCACAGGACCTTTGTCTTCAACTGGATCTGTGCCGCAGGAGTGCGTCAGCCTCACAGTCCTGCCTGCAGCTCTTATCTGTGGTTACTCTGAGCTCTGAAGACCTCCAGCCACCACATGAAACACTAAGCAAAGACAACATGACACAAAGAGCAGTGTTGGTTCTGCCTTCCTCACTAGCCTATGCAGAGGATCTGAGCTCCTGTCAAGAGCCCAGTGGAGGAACTGACAAACTATGGAGGTGGATACTTCAGCCCTCTTTGTGGAATTTATCCTTACACCTTGCTGCAGCTTCCAAGGTTTCCAGAGTGTGATGCAACAAAAAGGAACCTGAAAAGTATTCATACAATCAGAGGTACCTTGTTCAGAAACACTTGGCTCATGGCTATTCATACACCACTTTGGGAAAGCATCTCTATTCTTATAGGATCAACTGCTTTAGCATGAAAATATTTTGGTTTTAATACATTTTACTAAACCAGAAAACACTGCAAGATACACCATCAAAATACACATTCATTGTGAAGTTTCAGAGGAACATCTTTACCTAATCTAGCTTTAATGCAGTGAAAAAAAACTCTGATGGAGCTAATAGTCTACTATTAGAATTCAATGCTTGTCTCCCATATTTTTAGCAGAGTGATTGTTTTCTGAACATCATTTCTCTGGGTTTGGTTTTCCTGTTAATCTGTATTTCTATTCACAAAAGTAAGACAGGAAAAAAATCCCCAGAGACATCTCCATTTTACCCTGGTATTTAGAGCTGGTCTCCTTATTAAAAAGCAGCAAAAACAGGATGCTCATTTTGAGATACAAAACTGCTAAAATGAGTGAATCACTTGTTCAGTAGCCAAATTTGTAAAGAAAACCTATCTTAGCTAAAGTATTCCAGCTTTCTCCCCTAGTCATTATTTCTTTGTACTGATTTGCAACAAGTATCAGGAGGATACACTTTCAGACTGCTTTGGAGAAATACTTCAAAGACATATTCAGGCCTGGCCAGGTGGGACCACTGGGATTATCTGCTCTGACCTTCAGCATCTGTGAATTAATTCCTCTTAGGAGTAAAGAGTTTCCTTTGATTATTTTTTTTTATATATATTTTTTTTCACTTAAGCTTAATTCCTGAACTGATAATAACAGAGAATCTGCTAATCTTTGCCTTCACTTAAAATACTTCAGAATTTGCCTAATTTCAGACTTTCCAACACTTCACTCATTAGATCTTTGACTAGACTGAAAACTCTTCTGTTAAAAGATTTCTGTTCCACACACGACTAACATGGAGCAGAAACAGATCTCCCTGCTAACCTCAACAGTGGTCTCCAGTAACAAGAGAAATCTTATTGCTCATTTAACAGGAGAAAGGCAAAATGCAGATGTTACCATCATAAATCATGTCCAGACTGGAGCAGAAGTTTAGCAAAATGCAATCACATCATCTATCCAAAATTCTCTGGAAGTTTCTCATTACTTCCAGCAGGTCACAACTTCCTTCTTTTTTCCCTCTCTGTGCTAACTGAACCAGTTTTCAGAAAGTCTTCTGTACTAGAGAGGCTTACTGAGGCACATACTATGTGGTCTCTACATTACTAAATGGCAGCAGCATTTCACTATTCTATACTATTTTAACCAAGCTATTTAATACACTGTAAAAATCTCACTAGTCCAGGATTTATCTAACCCAGATAGGATAAAGGAATATTACTTTTACTACATTATAGGAAAGATGACTCAAGTAGCAGTATTAATAGAAACTGCAAAATAGCCATGATTAGAGATAACTTCTCTGCTTTGTTTTATTAGCCCAGTTAATATAAACGGGACAAAGCAGACACATTCTCAGTTTCAGCTCTCTTCATGGTGTCAGCAGGGATGCTGCTGAGTGTCTTGTGCCCACAAAGTGGACATGGGAGGTTGGTCTTCTGCTCTGGACTCTAACCCTCACCTTCTGGAGATAAGGCATTCCCTGGACTTCAGTCCTGCCTGCAAGTGGAGGGAATGGCAGAAGGTACCGTTCAGTGAATTGGCTGGTGAGTGAGATGTGTTGCAGTGAGTGCCCTACAGCCTCTTCATCCTGAAACTGAAGGGTCTGAAAGCCTAACCTGAACTGTCAACTCATTCCAGACAGATCCCAAAAACAAAGACTGCTTTTTATCACTAAATCCCACCCCAAATATATTCGGTGTACACATGCTGAGAACAAGGGCTTATGATGAGTATCTTTAAAGCTGGCTTGTCAGATCACAGATTTTACAAGTCTGATATTTAGAAAACCAAAACAATGCATGTGTAAGTCCACCTTAAAGACTTGTTTCACACACTGACAATGTCTGTCTAGACCTGTGTCTGAGGATTGACCTGGTCCTCCTGGTTCCCTTTCTTCCCTT